ATATAAACCTTTCCTTCCTTAATTCTGGGTGTATTTTGTATTTTGGTATTTTGTCTCAGCAACAAGAGAAAAGTAATTAAAACACTAGGCTAGTAAAAGCTCAGTCCTTTCACCAGAGGAAAGACTTATTTAGAGCTAATATTTACTGAGGGCCTACTAAGTGCTTGCATTTTATATATATCATCTCATTTAGCCTTCAAAACTAATCTGTCAAATTTTTATGATGATGTGGAAATTGAAGTTGAGCGACTTCCACAGGACTTCGTAAGTAACAATGGGCGAGCCAGAATCAAACAGACTTTTGGACGGTAAAAGCTATGCTTGTGTTCTATAGGTCATGCTGCTTCCAGCTATGCCAGAAATAGTTGATATTTGAGTCAAGTGGGGAGATTAAAGCATGCGTGATAAAAGGAAGCTCACAGGTAGAAGCGAGGCTCAATTACTCTGTTGCAGCACAGGCACAAGAGGGAGAATGCAGATCAATGCTGAGAAGGGAGAGGCTCCCCCAACCTCTGGCTGCATTGCTGGCTCTCTGTGCAGTAGTGCGCTCCTGGTGCTGGGGCCGTTCACACAGAAGCTGGGCAGACACTCCTGTACCTCTCTCACAGGGGAGATCCCACACCATGACTGCTACGACCCCTTCCAGTTCTGTGGTCCCTCTGTTCTCACTTCAAATGTATAGGGTATTTTATTTTCTCTGAAAACAGTTTTACTAAGGATGACCACTTGTTTCACCATGGAAACTGAGATCAAGGATTAGCAGTTCTCTAAGTCTGTTGAAGATCTTGTCAGTGACTGTAGATATAATGGGACCAGTGGAGCACAGACATTACCAATTCATTTTTGCCCAGATGTGGAATGACATGCCTGCAATCCCAGCGATCTGAGGTTGAAGCTGAGGCAGGAAGATCTAAGGTTCAAGCTCACCCCCAGACAACTTAGCAATTTAACAAGTTAAAAAATAAAAGTGGCTGGTGATGTAGCTCAGTGCAAAGACCCTGGGGTCAGTTCTTATTGATACACACACACACACACACACACACACAGTTCATTTTTGGATTCAGGGAACTGCCTCCAAAACTTGGTGACACCAGAAATCACTAGGTGTGTCATTCAAACTTCACACTCTTCAGTCTCTTTAATCGAGTCTATCTTACAGTGCTATTGTATTACATGACACAATACGTGATATTTTATGGCATATAAAATTCCTGGCACAGTCACTTTGGCATAGTAAGGGCTCAGTAAATGATGGCTATTTTATTGTAAGTGATATGGCTGGAGATATAGCTCAGTGGCATAAGTGCCTGCCTGGCAAGCACAAGGTCCCCAGTACCAAAAAAAAAAAAAGAAAAAAAATGTAAGTGATACTAATATTGAACTAAGAAAGCAATGAACAACATTGGAAAATATTAACCAAGATGCAAGCCCCCAATTTTTGCTTTTGTCTTGGTAAACAATTACCTGCAAATATAACTCAACCACGCCAGAGCAAATCACACCGTCACCTAAAGTGCTTGCTTAGTTTGGGGTCCGGATGTCAGCTCTAAAGCCACATTGCCTAGGTTCGGCTTCTATCTCTGACAGTAGATCTGTGACCCAGTGAAGTTTTGTAACCTGTAAGGGTCATACCTTCCTTGTGGGTTACTGGAGAATCCAATGAACCAATGCATATATACTTATGAAAATAGTTCTTACCACCTAGGAAAGCCCTAGGTGCTTAAAACATGTTAAATATTTTTCTCTTTCTAGAAAGTGTTAAACATTTTTCTATGTCTAGAGATACATTGTACATCCAACATACTACATGGGAAGTGCTCTATCCTCTGAGGTTTCCAGGGTTTCCAATGTATCTACTCCAACAGAACAAATGCATGCAATGTGTACACAATGTAATAGTATATGCACTTACATACAGCATACTGTATCTGCATATATATTGTATATGTGATACTATAGCTTAAGCAACAAACAAAAAACATAGTATAGGGAACATTTTCAAGCATGTCTGCATAAAAAACCATGCAGTTATTAGTATTAACATAGGTTTAGGTTTAGGATCCCCCCAAAATTCTAAAATTACATAAAGCATCATAATATTTGCATCTAACCTAGGCATATCCTCTGTATACTTACTTATTTGTCTTTATTTATTGAGCTAGAGATCAAACTCAGGCCTCACTCATGCTGGGCAAATGCTCTACTATTGAGCCACATTCTCATCCTTCCCCGTGTCCTTCAAGTCCCCTCTCTTGCACTGAGGGGCTACACCAGCACACAGGAGGTGCTAGGTTTCATTGTTGGAGGAATAGTGACAGGAAAAACTTGGTGTTTTCAGGGCAGAAGCAGTCTTCTTAAATGTTTTCCATCCTCAGTCGGTGAATGCCGATACATGGAGTCTATCGGAGGGGGAGGGGCAGTACTTACCAATAGGATGACGAAGGCTTAAGGTAATAAATGCAGCGCAGACCACCAATTCCCTTGCCCTCTAATGTCTAACATTTGCACCCTCTTAATTCATTGCTTTGGAACTTCTTGCTGTGCAAGCATGCTGGAAACATTGAAAACAGCAATTTAATTTTACTTTCAACATGAGTTCTTGATGTTGAAATATTAATATTTTTGAGAATCATCTCTTCCCAGCATAGAGGGCTTCTTTGGGAAGGGTGCCATGAAGCTCTGTTACAAATCTCTCTGGCACTGATTTTTAAATTGCGGTAAAAGAAAGCATGCACACCCACAAAGGGAGAGCGTCAGTACAGGACTTGAGTTTTTCTTATTGTCCCGTGACCTGACATGTAAACATGGCAATTCACAGTGGGAAATTTCTTATCAGTGAAAGTTTTTTGGGGTGTCTCTAGTCACCCTGGTTTCTTGCGTATTACAAGTGAACACAGTTTTGTGAGAAACCATTAATAAAAGCGATACACACAAGTCTTCATCTATCATGCATAGAATAATGCATACCAGATTAAATTCCTGTGAATGTACAATGCTCTTGGTTTATACCCCAGAGTCTGAAAATCCATTGGATATTTCTCATGTGGTGCAAGCATACACAAGTAAACTGTGTAAAAATATGATGTCTATTATTTCTCTACAAAGTACCAAAGCCGAGGAGATATTGTAAATTACAAGTACAGTAAACTCAGTGTTAAAGTAGATCTCTAGATTATGTATTTGTAAGTTGACTTTTGAGAATACACATTGTGCTGACATAAATGTATGTGTTATTATAAGCAAAATAATAAATAAATAAATAGTGGTAAAATGCACCCAGCATAGACTTTGCCACTCTAACCTTTTAAAACTGTACAGCTGGGTAGTTTTAAATATATTCATACTGTTGTGCAATCAGTATCCGGAAACCTTTTCATCTTGCAAAACTGAAATTCTATCTGCACTCATTAAACAACTCCCCTTCCTGTCCCTCCAGTCCTGGGCAGCTACCACTGCACTCACCACCTCTATGTATTTGACGACGCTAGCTCACTTAAGTGGAAGCACACACCAGTCATCCTTCGGGACTGGTTTGTTCCACTTAACCTAGGATCCTAAAGCCCCACCCACACTGGAGTATGTGCAGAATTCCCTTGCTTTTGAAAGCTGAATATATTCCATCAGATATCTCTGCCACACTGCGGACCCATTCATCTATCCATGGACACTTGTTGACTATGGCGAAAAATGCTGCTATGAACATGGGTGTACCAATAACTCCTTGAGACCCTGATTTCAATTCTCTATGACAGTATCCATGTAAAACTCACATTGAGACTTGGTATCAAGAGTTGTGGGGCCTTTAAAAGGCGTTAAAGTTCTTGGGGCAAAGCCTTTAAGAATAGGTTAAGACCTTTCTTGAAGAAATAGATGCTTTCTCCCAGATCAGATTGTTACAAAGCAAGTCAGCATCTCCTTGAGCACTTAGACTCTTCTGCATCTGGATACTTCCCCTACCACCATGAGGCCTTCCCCAGAAGCTGAGCAGATGATCTCCAGAAGCCACAGCCAACAGAAACCCTCTTACTTTATAATTTAGCCAATCTCAGTTATTCTGTAATAGCAACAGAGAATGGACTAAGACAAATATATATGTGCAAGTGGAATGACCGTATCATGTGGTAATTCTATTTTTATTTTCTTGAGACACTAACACACTGTTTTCCTTAAACGTTGCACATTTTACATTCCCACTGGTTGTGTACATGGGCTATACTTTCGCCACATGCTCATAATGCTTTTCTATGAACTTTTTGTAAGTAGTAGTTTTTGAAGTGGTAGCTCATTGCATTTCAGGTTGCATTTCTCTAATAATTAATGATTATGAGCATCCTCTGGTGTGCTCATTGGCCATTGGATATCTTCTTTAGAAAAATGTTCATTCAAGTTTTTTGCACACTTTTAATAGAGTTTTGTTGTTACTGAATTATAAGGACTTTTATATCCTAGATTTTAACTCCTTATCACACATATATGACTTGTAAATATTTTCTCCCGTTTTCTGTATTGGCTTATCTTTTGACTGTGCCTTTTGCTACACAGAAGATTTTAACCTTGAAATCATTTAGTCTATCTTTTCCTTTAGTATCTATACCTTTAGTATCCCATTTGTGCATAAATTTATATGTTATGTATAGGGTTAAGACAGGAATCATGAAAAACCTGAAAGTCCAGATTTGGAACCTAACACTCTGATTTCTTCATTAACGGTCCAGCACACCTCCTCTGGCCTCGGACTCTTAACACCCAGTAGCCCAGGAGCCTGCCCATGTCCTCTTGTAAGAACCAACAAAATATAACTGAGCAGTCAAAACATAGTGACTGAGCTCAGGATAACCTAGGATTTCTTTTCTACCCTCAACATACGTAAAACCTTGCTACCCTTTCTGCATGTCTTGTCCAATTCCTTGTGCAGGACACCAAGAACTTGGAAAGAATCTCTTTAGGACCCAAATGCCAATAACAATATGGCAGCAAAGTGGCCTCCCTCACTGACCAACCTTATGTGTGGTGATCAAAGCCAGAAAGGCATCTTCTGATTGATCAAAAGGACAGCAGGCACTTCCGAGTCAGGAGCACAAGCCAGGTCTTCCCTGCGTCCTCTTACCACCAACCTCTGGGAACGAAGTCCCAATGTAAACTGAAGGGGCGTTAGCCTGGTGCCTCACTTCCTCTGCTGGGCCCCTCCCATTCAGTTAGGTCCTACCGTCTCCCAGTAGCACGGCACCTGGCTACTGCGCCTCCCACACGTGGGCATTTGCCTAACCCTGATCCAAACCATGGCAGTGTGCACACGGTGAGCTGCCAGGTGAGTTCCAATCCGCACGGTCCACAGCTTGCGCTTGCTGTACTTGAGGAACTGGGGCGAGGCGCTTTGCGAGCAGCGAGGAGACACTAGCGAGGATGATCACGTTTCCGGAAACAGTCGCTACCCCGTTATAGACTGTCTGGGAATCCAGAACCTCGGCCTCCGCCATTCCCGAGGGAGCCCTGCAGAACCGTGTGTAAATAAACAGAGCAAACCCGCTGCAGAAACACTACCAGGCTACTAGGCATGAAATTGGAGCCCTTGTTTGTTTACCCTACAGCCTGGGCGTGGAAACTAGAGGCCACTGAGACTGCAGGACAGGGTCTGGGTTTGGGGTCAGGCGTCAGCCAGTAATCACTAAGAGACCAGCTCTCTGAAGAGCTGATCCACACACCAGGCCGGGGACGCACCACACAGGCATGCGATGTCGCTGCGTGTGCGTGCTCATTTAAGAACCTGTTACAGTCTGTCAAACATGATCAAACATTAAAATGAAGTGCCCCGCCCAGCCCTATGTACCCACATGCAACTCTTTGCATCTGCCCGCCTGTAAGCGCCTTTGTGGAATTGCATGGGAACTTATTTACCTGAGCAAGTAAACAAAAAGTGCATGCTGAAAAGATTTTTTTTTTTCTTTTTTCCCATTCTTGGTTTTCCAGCAAACATTTTTCTGTTTCCTTCACATGAAACTCTTCATTCAACCATTGGTGCACACAAACTAGAATTTATAATGCAGAGATGAGTGAATATTCATTTTATTGTCGGATATCGCCAGTGAATTAGATAAAATGAGTTGTCTTGCACTACTTCTCTTAACTTTTAATCCTGTGTATTCAAAGGGAATTTAATCCATCTCTGATTCGCTTACTCTGGACTCATCGAAGTGATGCTTTGTAAAAGATGTTTGGTGTCCAAAATGCCTGGTGGGTTTTGAAAACTTTTATAAAGTTCGCCGCCACCACCACCGCCACCACCGCTGCCTGTCCCTTCCTCCTCTCTGCAGCACTGGCCATAACCAAGAAGTTATGTTTTATAGACCTGGCACTGTTTGGAACGGCCAGAAATGTACACTGCAGCAAACGCTAAGCTTTCGGCCCAGTATGACCATCACTGTAGAGAGCGGTATTGCAGGGTCGTGGTGGTAGATTGCTGGGGGCCGTGCGCACTCAGCGAGGCCTGGCTGCTCGGGAGTGGAGACCACACACTGGACGCTGGCCCCTGCCACGAGGTCTGTAGCACAGTGGATGTCCCTAGGCACCAGAAGAGATCCAAAACCTCTTTCATCCAGTGCTCTGCACATGTGGTGCAACCTCTCCCAGCCCTGCGGCACACACAGAATAAACGGGCCCTTGGAGAAGGCTTTCTTGTCCTTTGTGTCCCCTGTGATCCCTTCCAAACAAGCGCTTAACTCCGTGAGCATTGCAGTACCAGTACCAGAAGACAGGCCAGCCCCCCAGGCCATTCTGATTCTACCCAGGGGAAACGTTCTGCCATCTTCTCAGGTCTTGGCAATTTTTCCAAGAATGACCTCAAAATGCTTGCACATCTGTCCTGAGGAGAAAACATTCGGCTTACTATTCCAAAAGGTTGCAGAATTTTAGTAACCAGGAGTGACCTTAAAAGATCATGGGAATTTTTAGAGCAATGTTAACTATTCAGGCATCTGAAAATATTGAATCTCTCACTTTGAATCTGGATTTGTTTTCTTTTAAATGTTTGTTGATATGTGATCAGAGCCTTCACTGACATCTCCGTCCATCAGTCACTCAGTAAACATTTACTGACCACCGCCACAGTCCCAGGTCCTGTTCAGCCCGAGGCTTTGAGGCAGGGGGTGAACTTGGCCCTGGGAGAGCTGTGCCCACTTGCCTTCCCCTTCCAAGCTGACAGCTGGAGTCCTTTATCCTATGTGCTCTGGGCCCTTCTGGGGACCAAAGCAGACAGAGGTGAAGGGCAGCTAGGTCATTCACCCCAAGGAAAACAGTCTGTAAACTTCAAATCACTCTTCATTTCCAATGTTAAAGACCAAATGGGTGAACATTTACGTAAACTCCAGGAGTCCGTTATATCACAGGGCACATTACATTTCACCCTTTAGCACGTGCAAGACTTTACCCGTCTGAAGTTCTATGTTAGGCTTTTATGTCTTACCATGAAGATGAAATTCTTGGGAGTGAGAAGGTGGTAATCCGCCTCACAACTCTGATCACAATAAGGAGTGATACTTTCATTAGTTTAAAGAGATACAAAGTCTTCCCTTTGTGAACTGACTTTTGCTGGGGATTCCATTTTCTTTAGCAGCTACATTAACCCTTCTACCCTAAAGGAAAAGTTTCCAGGCTACAGAACCACGTGCCAGTGAGATCATCTGAATTTTTCGGACCTCAAGTAAAAATCGTGTTTGGAAAAGACTGAGCCCAGCCCAAACTGGATGGCTGAAAGCTTATCTTCCCGGGGCATGGGCTCCCTGGCTGGTGGGAGGGAGGCCGCAGCTGCCCTTCTCTCCTCCTCCCCCGAGTTTAGGTGAATGCAGTTAGTCACCAGGCAAAATAGAAATGACGGCATTTGGATTTGAATGGAGCTGCCAGGCCTAAAGCAGCCAGGCAGTCATTTCTGTGGGAGCCCAATGCCAGCACTAAGCGCTGCTGTTTCACCAAATAGTCCTCGTGTCCCTTAATCTGTCTTCCTGCAGACGGGCCCCTGGCACTCTCCTGCTGCACTTAGGGCCAGCCCTCCGCTTCCTTGAGCCTCCTCCCGGTGAATTACAGCCCCGCAGCATGGGGCTGACCAGAAAACAGCCTCTTGCGCCGCAAGTGGAAGGGCTAACCGAATCCGGCCTCCTGGGGAGAATGGCAGGAAGGCTTCTATTATTCTGCCTCATTCTATCTGCACAGAGGCGGCGTGGCGCCTGGAGTCTGACCTAACTCATTTCTCTGGATTTCCGCGTCACAGCGACAGTGTCTGCCAACGCCCAGCATCTCCCTCCTGAGACTCACTACACTTCCTGATATAGGATGCACTTGCCTGCTCCTGGTGACCTTCAACACTAATAAAGTAGTCATAGCATGACCTGGACAAGACCTGGGAGCCAATCAGAATGCAAGTGATTGATGGGAGTGCTTTCAGCTATCTGCTATTAGTCCTGACCCTTTGGCGTTGTGCCCTTTATAGTGATTGTGTGGGTAGGAGCTTAAGAATGCATTATGGGCATCGCTCGTCACTGTGCTGAAGGTCAACCCTGAGGTGTGGCAGAGGAAACTGAATGTTAACAGACTGGAACCGCGAGGGCAGTTTTGCTCTCCCTTCTCCTAGCTTGTGGGAAACAGTAAACTAGAACTATGCTCTCCAAGTCTGGGCATGGCCCCAGCGGGGCGGCTTCTCTATTTGCAGGGCTAACAACTTGATCTTCTCTGCTTGGCCTCCCACGAATACTGTTATCAGTGTTATTCCCATTTTTGTTGCGAGGTCATGGATGCACAGTCCTCTCTGTTCCTTACTTAGTCTCTCTACGTTTCTTCCGAAGATATGTGTTGGTCTGTGCATACCATGGCTCTACGATTTCAACATCCTCTCAGGTTATGAGTCAGCAATGGAGAGACTATTGGACTCATCCTTTGTGCTTGCTGCGTGTCACATGTCCGTATCTTTAAGATCAAATTCCTCATTCTTCAGAAAGGGTTCTTTCACTTCCACTGCTCCTATCCCTGCCCACGTAATACATCTACATTCGGGCAGTCCATTTTAACAAGCTACAAACAAAGTGGCAGATTGCCCAAGTGTTAGCAGTTGTTTTCTGTTTGGAAGTGTGCAGTAGGTAGTCAGCATGCAGGGACCTCCTGTGTAATCCTCCATGGAAGATTCAGCTGTCGTTCTTGGGGAGCAACGGCCTCAGGTGACCAGAAGTGACCATGAGCCTAAGTAAACAGGCCCAGCTTCTCTATCCACTGCACTAGGGTTTGCCTGGAAGGCCGTTGCTTCCCATGACCGCAGCGCCCAGCAGACGAGAGGGGCTGCAGACAGCCCTGGCTGCTTGTGTTTGCCTGCTTGATTCCAGGCCTTACGTAGCCCTTCCCGAACCTGCTTACACTTGCATCCTTTCCTTCATCTTGGGGTAACAGATGTTTATGTACTGTGTGCTTTCTTTTATTGTTGTCATCATCCATCCCATGTTGAAAGATCCAATTATGTTAGATGATTTTATGAATGACATTCTAAAAATCCCATCAAGATTTTATCCATCTAATATGCTTCCCCTTTAATACTTCCTCTTCCATGTTGAAGGATCCTACCATTTCTTTTCAGTCTGTTTTATTAGGTTCAGGTTTCACCAATATTTTTGAGTTTCACTATGAGATGGAGGTAGTGTCAGATTTTTTTTCATATAACAATAATAATAATGCTTAGTATTTATTACTATGGTACTGCCAGGAATTGCTGAAATACATTAGGCACATTTACTGATTTCATTCATACAACTATCCTGTAAAGAGTTTTATCTCATTTACTAAGAATAACCTTATGAATTTATATTGGTATCTTTATTATACAGATGGTAGTGCTAAGATTCAGAGAATTTTAAGCACCGGACTCAATGCCAAGGGCCAAAAACCAAGATTTACACCTGATCCTTACCTGTAAATATCAGCCTCCATTCAACTAGTCATATTATATGAATCCATAGAATACTAGTTGTAATTCTATTGGGTGCTTGCCTCATCTAATTCTTAGGCTGGGCTTTTTTTCAATATCTTATACATGCTACATTTTTAATGTAAATTTTTGAATTATTCTTCTACTATTGTACTTTAATA